CGCCCTGGCGGATTTGAGAGAATGTGACCGACATTCCGGTCTGACTGAAACATCATCAAGTTCCAAATTCCGGTACAATTGAAACGACATCATCTCTTGGTCCACCAAAAAGAGAATGTGGCCGACATTCCGGTCCTACTGAAACATCATTAGATGGTTTCAGTCGGACCGGAATGTCAGTCACATTCTCTTTTTGGTGGACCAAGAGATGGTGTTGTTTCAATTGGGCCGAAATTTGGAACTTGACTATCCTTATGGATTGTATCATAATGAGAGTACCTGCGACAGTAATCTGGTAATGTGGCTGCAAATGACTTTGAATGCAGAAATCCTATGCAGGGTATATCTGGCATAAGCGGATTTTTTGCCTTCACATACTTCTCAAAGTTATAATCTTCGTTGACGCCAGCACCACCAAAACTAATATATGCGACTTGTGTTCTAGGATACTTTTCTCTAAGATAGATCTCAGTGACTCGCGCTAGGCTAGTCTTTCAGGACCCCTAACTAGAATAATGCGGTTTTCTTGGATCATTTGAACAAGCCCAATGATAGTTTTCTCTCCTCGCGGTACTAACGAGGTATTGCGGTATATGGCGATTATATTAGTAAACTTCAGTGTATAGACAATTTTTATAATCGAAAATCGGGTCATTAATCTCGCTTCGGTAAAAGCCGAGTTCGTTGTGTGTATACGGCACCGTCGTAAAGAACTTTCGAGTACCCTCGCCATGGCGAGTGTTCAAATCACGTGGTAACCAATAAGAATCGTGAATTTTTTGATCTGCTGGTGACACAAACCAATAAAAATGCAAAAATTTTTGATCAGCCCGGCAAAACAAATCCGACACAAGAAAATGAAAAAGCAAAAATACGGGAAACAGATGCCTAAATCTAGCTTGATAAACTAATCAAAAATGTCGGGAAGACAATTTTATATACAATCTTAATTCCAGATCTACCCCTAACCCTAACCGTAAATTAATCTTTGACAATAATCTCTATTATCATAGAATTTTTCCGGATATACCCGGGTATCACATGATCTGAACACTTTTTTTCGCCATGGCTAACTTATCAACAAACCAATAGAAATTGATTGATCTCGGAAAATTCTACTATAATATTAATTATATGATATAACTCGATAATCACGTGATTTTGTTTCAATTTTCTGATATCACTCATATTATCACGTTTTTGTAATTGATCAATAAAATAATAGCATATTTTAATTACATGTAATTTTATATATTACAAGAGTTCATAGTTTTCTGATATAACTAACTAAACTATATGATATAATATATATTAAAGATAATGAAAAAATATTTAAGTGCTATTTAAAATTAACAAAAAATATATATACAAGATAATTTAAAAAAAATAATTAGTTTTTGAAGTTAGCAAAAGATAAAAGAGAATGTATTAATTCATAATTCTTTTTATTGTTTCTGACAATCAATAATATGATTTATACTTATTAATAATTCACTCAGTAACACATTTATGTATAATTTTCGTGTGAATTTATAAATAATCATTAGAAAAATACTAATAAAAACTTCAGAAATCTATCTCAATAGATCTGTATAATTATAATTATATAGTTGTTTGATCTTTCATTTTACAAAATTCCAATATTGTTCTATGAAGTTATATTATAATGAAATTTCAATATTGTTTGAAGATATGTTTTTTTTAATAATTATTTTTTTCAGTATTTCTAGTATTTACAAAAATTAGGTTATAATAATATGATTTATTATGCATAATAGTCAAATCTTTCTGAATTAATATTATCATATTTTTTAAAGCACTGTTTATATATTAAATGAATATTTTTTGTTGATCAAATATTATATTTTTTAAGTATCCTTTAGTTATTCTTTTAGTTTGTAATTATATATTTCTCTTTATATTTATTATTATACTAATCATCACATATTTTAGATTGTACTTTTCCAGAACTCAAGTTTATTCTTGTTGCAATCAGTATATTTATTACTATAGTATTATGATTGATTAATTAATCAAAACAAAAAATATTAATATATTTAAGATGTAATATCTCAAATATAGAAATTACTTAATATTGTCACTGATTCAATATTAACAATAATTTAATATAAGAATACGTGAACAAAAGACGCAGTTATGATAAAAATCAGTCATAATGATATTTGAACTACATATTTAGTTTGATAATATTCTACTTCTTTTTATTTCTTTCTATTTTCTTCTTTTTCTTTTTCGTATTATTTATCTTTCTATATTTATCTTATTGTTATTTTTATTTGGATATATTAATCACACCATTTTCTTGGCAAATTTCATCATTTTCTATATTAGTTTAGTCTTTATTTTCTATTTTTGCTATTGATACTTAAATGTAAAACAAGATTATTAATTATAATGTAGTTAAATTTTGTGTAATTTAGAAGAGAACCAGTAAGTTTATAATATTAGCATAGATCTACTGTGTCACATACTGCGCTGCAACTGCATTATGCTATGTCATACTGTGCATTACTATGTCACACTGTGTCACTATAATACAAAAATATGTATAAATATAAGTGCTGATAATTAATAAAAATCAAGTTTTCCAATTCTAGTTTTAAGTTCTTTAGTTTTGGTTTTAAGTTCTTTTAGTTGAGTTTAAGTTTCTTTTAGTTTAATATCAGATTTAACATGTTAAATTGATTTTATTTTGGAATTTTAAGTAGTTTTTGGTTAAGTTTATCTTTTAATTTAGTTTTGTTATTAGTTTAGTTTTATATTCATCACCTTTTATCTTGTCAAGAAATATCATTTATTCATTATAAACTTCAATTAGTCAAAATATTCAAAGTAAATTGTCGTGAACATAGTCACTATTGCCATTTTGAAATACTTTCATATGCAAAAGCTCAAAATGGTAATAGTTTTTTTGGTGCTCTCTCTGTGAAGACAAATTTGAAAAAGAAAACCTGGATTCCACATAAAGATGACACAGCAAGTACATGACGCTTATTTGTCACCCGTTGCAATATGTTGTAACTCCAAAATTTTATAAGTCGCAACAAGTTATAACTAGATGATGCTTTATTTGTCATCACGTTGCAACAGTTACCACACCATCTTTAAAACCAACAGCATAAAATATTTATTGTTCCATTACCAACTTTCAGCGAAAACAGTCACAAGGATCCAATCAACTAGTTAGACGAATTCAAAAGATCAGTAAATGCAAATAACATCACCAATGACAGAAAATGACAAATAGTATCAGCTTATCTAAGAGATGTAGTAACCACCTGGTTTGATCAACAAAAAGCATTAAATAATGATTGGTCCATTAGTTGGAATGACAATAATAATAATTCCTTTTGTCAACCATTTTTGTATACAATTCAAAACCAATATGCAAATTCTTGTTTGGCAACAACAATTACGATTAAAAATTCAAGAAAATGAAGAAAGTATAACTCAATATGCTGAAGATATTCATACTTTATTGAAAAAAATTGACCCAGATAATGCTTACCCTGCCACTTATAAAATCAAATAATTTGTTAAAGAATTAAAAGCAGAAATAGCATTCTTCATTAACAAAGCCAGTTCAGTAATCTTGGATATCATCATAAATGAAGCAATCAGCGTAGAAGTCAGTTATCGACAAATATATCAAAATTCATTAAATCCAACTTCAGTAGCAATCTCACTTTCATTACAAAATCTTGGTATCAATGTATCAACAATCACAACAATTGATATTAATAAAGCCATAGTCAATTTGACAGAACAAGTCAAGAAATTAGCTATACAAATCACTAAAAATACCAGTTAGAATCGTGATAATTATACCAGTCATTGCTATGATTAACAATCAAATCAGAAAACCTGTTTCATATGTGGAAGAGCCAATCACCTAGCAAAAGATTGTAAATATCATGAGAATCATGATAAATCAAATCAAGACCAAAACCACCAAGTTCAATGTTATAGCTATAAAGAATATGAACATTATGCTAGCGATTGTTCAGCACATAAAAGAAGCGCTTTCAACAATAATCAACAATATCAAAATAATTGCAACAATCAACCAGCTAACTATGAAAGAATTCTAGTTATTTCTACAACTTTCACCTCCAGTTCTCAAAATTCAATTGGTATCTCTTCTACAGTAAACAATATTGATTTCTTATAACAACTCCAAAGTCTGCTGGGAAATAATATTAACAATAATAATAATAATACTAATAACAATAATAATTAACAAGAGCAGAGCACTTTATTATTAAATAATGGAAGTCAACAAAAGCATTTAAACTAAATTTCATACCTGTTGAAGGTCAGAGTATGATTAAGCATAAAAATCCTTCAACATCATTTTTACAATAACTATTATTAAACATGAAAAAAGAAAATAATAATCATCAAGAAGAATCAATTAATTATGAAGAATCAGAATTGGAATTAAAATCAAATGATACTATGTATTGTGAAGGTACTGTGAAAAATCAACAAACTCGAATAATTATCAACGGCAGATCAGTAAGTAATATTGTTATGATATGAATATTTAGTTCTTATTTTATTGATTAATTATATCATAAATTTAATTGAATAATATTCTATTATGTTTTATTGGTTAATTTTATATTCATATTTTATTAAATAGTTATTTTTAGATAGTGATCACTTCAAATGATCACTTTGAATGATCATTCCAAATGCTCATTCCAATTGATCATCTCAAGCATTCTGAAAGATTATTGCAAATGATCATTGCAAATGATCATTTTATAATTATCAAATACTTATAAATACAGATTGTATCTTAGCTTAGATTCAATAGTAGAAACAAGTTCGATAGCTTAGCTTAGCTTTTAGAACCTCAAGAATAATAAATAATAATTAAAAACATATAACAAATTAATAATAAATTTGTTTAATAATAAAATTATACTTTATTATTATTGAATTATAATCTTATAATGAAATTATATATTTATTACATAAATTCTTTAATTAAATACTATTATTAAAAATCTCAGGTTTCATTCTAGCTGATTACGTTATGAACATATTGTTACCTTCCTTTAAATTCATTTATAATCATAGTTTAATGCTTGATGCATTATATAGATTTGATTATATTATACTCTCCCACCTGTTATTCTTAATAAACTTTACTATAATTATCCTGACCAAGTAACTTATTATAACATTATTAAGTACTCACCAGCTCTCCCAAGAACTCATATAAAATGGTAACAATATAATATCTGGAAAATTCTTAAAACAAATAAAT